ACAGCACTAGACCGCAAGGTCACCGGTTCAAACTCACCAGCCACTCTGGAAATCCTATACAGCGTTGCTATGAGTCAGAACTGACTCAACAGCACTTAACAACAATGGAGAGCAGGAAATGGATTTGAGAGAGATGGCTCAATTATGGACCGAGAGTGGGAAGAGTAAAAAGGAAAAGAGGCATAAGAGGCACACTGGAGACTGTCAGAGTGCAGGAAGGAGCCCTGCCCACTCAGTGTTCTAATACCTGTCTTCTCTCTTACTTTTTGTATTTGTCATGGATTTTTCAAAACCCAGGGACAATTCCTTGCTGATTACTCTCTCAAACAAAATAAGGCTATTATTACAGCAGAATTTTTTCTTTAACCAGTCTCTTGTCAAATAATTAAACAGGGATGCTTCCCAAAGCATCTGAGGAATGTAGTACAGTAATGAGAGCATAAATTCTTTTTGGTTAAAAAGAAAAAAAAATCTATCCCAGGAGTAAAGGTCACCTTCAGTCACATAACACATTCCTAAGTGGATGCCTAAGATTCAGGCATGATTACTCACACAGACACTGATACTCCTGAAACTGCTGTTTAAATTGAAAGGTTTCGTAACTAGACTCTTCTGAACATGTACTATTTCCTACATGAGCAGTTTTCAAGGTACAGTACTTTCCTCAACAAAGGGCTTTTCCTCACACTTTTTACAGGGTATATCTATATCTATATATATAGATAGATAAATATAGATAGATATAATTTTTTTTTTTTTTTTTTTTTTTTTTTTTTTGCAGCAAAATTCACCTCTGCATTCCAGTTGCTTCAGTTCCTAAGTTTGGCAGAATGGTTTTAAGTTGGCATTTTGAGGTATCTTTTTCTATCAGATCCAAAATTCACTTCCTTATTTATATTGATAATACAATATATATCTTGAGTAATATGTGACAGCATACAACTAATCTTCGAAGCAACAAACATAAAAAAATTGAAACAAAAAAATGCACTGAATATTGTTGCTGTACTTAAGATGCCATCACGTTGGTTCTGACTCAGAGCGACGCTATTGCAGAACAGAGTGAAACACTGTCCAATCCTGAGCCGTCTTCAAAACCACTGCTACACGTGAGCCCACTGCTGATGCCACTGCAATGACCCATCTCGTTGGAGGTCTTTCTCTTTTTTGGTTCCCCTTCACTTTACCAAGCATGATGTCCTTCTCCAGGAACTGATAACATGTCCAAAGTATGAGAGATAAAGTCTATCCATTCTCACTTTTATGGAGCATTCTGGCTGTACTTCTTCCAACAGATTTGTTCTTCTAGAATATTAGTTAGGATAAAATCAAAAGATCCTTTTTTACATGTTACAGCTGCAGGAGAACACACAGTTTAGATGTCAGCTGTTGGTGTGTTAATTTAGCCACTGGGTCTTCTTGGGCCTGTCCAGACTAAAACTGCATGGTGAAGAGACTAAGCAAAGTCTGCAGTGCAGTAACCATACGGACAAGCAGCAGGGAAATGGAGACAAGGGCCTGCAAGGGCTGCAGAAGATGGCACAGTAACCTAGTACAAAGAAATCTGGGCAAAGCTAATGACTTCACATAACAGCAGCCTCCGGGTTTTGTAAAGTCACTTGTTTCTTCTTTCCAAATAATGAATTTCTGCCCCCCAGAGTTAGTTTAATATTGGCTCAATTACACACTTCCATGCACCAGAACACACATAACACAGCTCTGTCTGGCCAGAAGAAACTTCATGGATTTATGAGGTGTTATACCCTTTCGTAGTGTCACCTGTAACATGTTAATGAAACCTATAAGAGGGTCATGGAAATGGAGATTAAAGGATGTGGATTTAAAAGCAGATAAACATCCTTTCACCATACTTATTCAACCTGTATGCTGAACAAATAATCCGAGACGCTGCATTATATGAAGAAAAATGTGGCATCAGGATTGGAGGAAGACTCATTAACAACCTGCAATATGCAGATGATACAACCTTGCTTGCTGAAAGTGAAGAGGACTTAAAACACTTACTGATGAAGATCAAAGAGCACAGCCTTCGATATGGATTATATCTCAGTGTAAAGGAAACCAAAATCCTCACCACTGGACCAATAAACAATATTCTTATCAAGGGAGAAAAGACTGAAGTTGTCAAGGACTTCATTCTTCTTGGATCAATTATCAACACTCACGGAAGCAGCAGTCAAGAAAGCAAACTATGTATTATACTATGCAAATCTGCTGCACAAGACCTTTTTAAAGTGCTGAAGAGCAAAGATGTCAGCTTGAGGACTAAGGTGTGCCTGACCCAATCTATGGTATTTTCAATAATCTCATATGCATGCGAAAGCTGGACAGTGAATAAGAAAGACTGTAGAAGACTTGATGCCTTTGAGTTATCATGTTGGAGAAGAATACTGAACATGCCATGGGCTGCCAAAAGAACCAATAGATCCGTTTTTGGAAGAAGTGCAGCGGGTGTGCTCCTTAGAGGCCAAGATGGCCAAACTTCATCCCTCATACTTTGGACATATTGTCAGGAGGGACCAGTCACTGGAGAAGGATATCATGTTTGGTAAGGTGGAGGGGTCAAAGAGAAAGAGGAAGACCCCCAATGAGACGGATTGGCCAAGTGGCAGCATCGATGGACTCAAGTGTGGCAACAGTAGTGAGGTTGGCCCAGAATTGGGCAGTGTTTCGTTCTGCTGTGCATAAGGTTGCTTTGGGTCGGTACTGACTTGATGGCACCTAACAACAACAAATATCCTTACCTTTCAAGAAAATCTGGGAATAGTCTTCTAATGAAGAAATCTTTATGAGAGGACTAGTTGTATGAAATAATCACCAAAATTGTTTCACATGAAATCTTTAATCCAGACTCCTTTTCAATGGGCTGCGAACCACAAGTTCAGCAGTTCGAAACTACCAGCTGTTCCACGGGCGGGCGAAAGATGAGACTTTCTGATCCTGTAAAGATTTACAGCCTTGGAAACCCTGTGCAGGGTCACTATGAGTTGGAACTGACTCCACGGCACATAGCCACTACCATCAAACAAGGAAGAGTGCTATGTGAAAGGGTTTCAAAATGCTCATGTGAAAATTCCATTATCTTTTCATTCCATTTTCCCATGGACTTTTGGAAGCCCCGCTGTATGTGCTAGGACAGTGCTGAGAGAAGTTTAAGGAAATCAGCGTATTTTTTTCCTTCACAGTCCCCGCTAATCCCCTAATAGAGACTGTTACTCACATAATTATAAACTCACTGAGTACCAGGATTGTGCACAATTCTTTTTAACTCTCACAGTACTTAGCACAGCTTCTAGTAAGAGTTATTGTTATTGTTGTTAAGTGCCATTGAGTTGGTTCCAACCCACAGCAACCCTGTATAAGGTTTCCAAGAAGCAGCTGGTGAGCTTGAACCGCCGCCCTTGTGGTTCAAATTGACCTTGCAGTCCAGCGTATTAGACTACTGTGCCACACCAGGAGTCCTCTAATGGCTATTGAGCAGAATGAAATTCTCTAGGACACAAAATTTTTATTCACAGTCACCCTCCAGGCAATATTAAGCACTTTTCAAGGTGCTGCTGTATGGAGGTGTGGTGCTGTACGATCAGCATTAGACTGCGTACAAGGTTGGCAGTTCAGACCCATCAGCTACTCCTCAGAGACCCTTAGCAGGGTCACTGTAAGTCGGAATCAACTCGACAGCACTTAGCAGCAACAACAAACTGTATGTGGACAAGAAAGCTTTACCAAAACAATCTAAGACATAGTCTCAGAGGAGTACCCCAAGACATATGAGACTTGAAGTGAGCCTGAAAGGATAAACAGATGTGTGCACAGCAGGCTTCACCACAAATGAGGGAACACAAGGAAAAGAAAACAAGTGGACTGAGCAGAGATTGGCTGAAGCTGTGAAGAACCGTCTTAGAGGAGTGGGAGACATGAATACTGGGACCACTTTCCTTTTTCATTTCTGTGGGAACAGGGCACCAGGGCCAGAGCTCGATAGGGAATTCAGAGCAACAGCATCTGCAGAAAACTCTGGACAGGTGCACAACACAGCCACCATCATCATGCCTCTATTGTGCCATTTGGACTGCTACTAAAATGAGTTCTACTGTTATTGCTAAATGACGCTGAGTCAGTTCCAACTCACAGGGACCCTGTATAGGGTTTCTAAGGAGCAGCTGGTGAGTTTGAACTGCCAACCTTGCGATCCAGTGTTAATCCTACAGCACACCAGGACTCCCACATGAGTTCCTGTTGTTGTTGTTATGTCTTGTCTAATTGGTCCCGACTCACAGTGACCCTATATAAGGTTTCTGAGGAGTGGCTGGTGAGTTTTGAACCACAGCCCAGTGCTTATCCTATAGCGCGTCACATCAGGACTCCAAATGAGTTCTGCTGCTCTTGTTGTTGAGTGCCATCCAGTCTGTTCGGACTCATAGTGACCCTGTATAGGGTTTTTGAGGTACAACTGGTGAGTTTAAACTGCTGACCTAATGGTTCAAACTGACCTTGCAGTTCTGTGCTTATCCTATAGCATCACACCAGGACTCTAAATGAGTTCTAGACTCATAAAATACTACAGTAATAATAGAGAGCATGAATTTGTAGGGACTAGAGACCTCTTCAGAGATATTCAAGCATTTTTTTTAAGCAATCAGAAAACTTTCTTCATATAAAATCTTACAAATGACCCCAAAACATAAAGCAGACAAAATTAGAATTGCTCTGGTTATAGTAGGTGGCCTGGAATCCTACTTGAAGCCCTGCTAGAGAATCACTGTAGATGCAGAATTTGAATACAACTTAATCTAGTCCTGAGAAGTACATACCACACGTCTCCCACACCACACTCCTCATCTGACAGGGAAAATAAGCACCTGATATGGTAGAACCAGAACTAGAATCCAGAAACATCAAGCCCAGATCAGAGCTCTTCCATCTATATCCCAAACTGCTTCTAAAAGCGAGGAGGAGGAGGCTACGTTCACACTTACCATCTTTGTTCAGCCATTGCTTTCTTGTTCTGTACAGCAGCAGCTTGTTGTGGACATACGGTAGAAGGAACTTGACACACCAACTCTCCACGCCAAGCTTGTTTTCAACCAGGACTATGGGACTCCGGTTATACCTAGCTTCAGGACATGGGATCAGTCCAATTTCGTCTCTTAATATGTAAAATATAAACAAGAATTTCAATAAGAACACTTGCCTGTTCATAAAATTTTAAAATTTTAAATCCATAAATTTTTTAAAACACCATATAGTTTCCTTACTTTGAAAAAGAATGTAGTTCACCTACTGCATTGTGAGAAACTTCTTAAAAAGATGCAAATACCCAGTGCTGGCAAAAGTGTGGGGAAAACAAGTATGGACCATGCCAGCAGTGAAAACTGGTATAAACTTTGAATGGCAATGAGACCAAGATTTAAATATGCACATACCCTTTGACCCAGCAATCTCCTTGCTCAGGAATTATCCTATGCCAAAGTATGAATTAGACTTTTACTGCAGCTTGCATAAAAACCTAGAAACAATCCAAATATCTAGCAATATAAGCCTGTGGAATATACTATGGCATATCCAGGTGATACAAACCAGAAACCTGTTGCCACCAAGTTGATTCCGACTCAGAGCAACCCTCACTACAGGACAGATTAGAAATGGTCCCACAAGGTTTCCATGGTTGTAATGTTTACAGAAGGAGACTGCTACATCTGTCTCCCAAGGGACTGGTTGGTGGGTACTATCTAACTGCATGCCTTTCGGTTAGCAGCTGAGAACTTAATTTTTGTACTACCAGAGCTCCTTCCAAGTGATACCACTGTTAATAAAGAATAAGGTAGCTCTACATGCACTGGTAAGGAGCTCTGGTAGCATAATGGTTACAAATCGGGCTGCTAATCTCATGGTCAGCAGTCTGAAACTACCAGCTGTTCCGCGGGAGAAAGATAAGGCTTTCTGCTCCTGTAAAGATTTACAGCCTCAGAAACCCTGTACAGGGTTGCTATGATTCGGAACCGACTCCACGGCACATAACAACAACAACATGCACTGGTATGAGAAGATTGCCAAGATTTATTAACTAGGGAGTTGGGGGGAGTGAGATGTCAAATATAATATACAACATCAAGACTTTGTATAAATATTTCCTTAAAGATACATTGTTGTTGTTAAGTGCCTTGATTAAATTCCGCCTCAGGGTTGCAAGGAAGAGTTGGTGGGTATGAACCATCAACCTTGCAATTACCAGACTACTACCGATCCTGCAAGGAGCTCTGGTAGTGTAGTGGTTACGGAGTCAGGCTGCCAACCTCAAGGTCAGCAGTCTGAAACTACCAGGCATTCCGCAGGAGAAAGATGAGGTGAGGTGTTCTGCTCCCGTAAAGATTCACAGCCTCAGAAACCCTATGCAGGGTCACTATGAGTCAGAACCAACTCCACAGTACTTAACAACAACAACAACAACAAGCTATCCTGCAGTGCCACACCAGGCACCAAAGATATACAGATGCGATGAAAATTTTCTGGGACTGATACCAATAAATTTTGGGAAGTGAAAGATACTAAGAAATAATTTTTACGTTTTCTAATCACTTATAAATATTATTTCTATTTTTTTAATGTCATAAACGTATTTATGTATGTGGAACAGAAACAAATTAAGAAAATTAAACTGGCAGTGAGATTATGTTGCTGTTATGTGCCATGGAGTCGGTTCCCACTCATAGAGACCCTGCACAGGGTTTCCGAGGCTGTAAATCTTTATAAGAGCAGAACGCCTCGCCTCATCTTTCTCCCGCAAAACAGATGGTAGTTTTGAACTGCAGTTTCAAACTGCTGACCGTGAGATTAACAGCCTGACTTGTATCCACTTTTTATTTCTACTTTATAACCTTTTGTACTTTGCTGAATGACACACAAATGTTGCTAAAATTCAAAATTCATTTCAGAAGCTATTATGGCAGCATTTACATCCCTTAATCCACCACAACTAAAATTGAAAACATGAAATTTTCTAGGCAGAGATTTAACAAATAACATGTAGGTCATTTGACTTACATTGTAAATCAATGTTATAAAAATGTTTTGGTGCTTCAATTAATGCCCTTCAACTATAAAGGAAGCTACAATTAATTCTTGCCTACATGAAGCATGATTTCTCAAATTCGTAGTTATGACCTTCGTTTAATCTATGAACAACAAAGTTGAAGTAAATAATATATTTTTAAAGCATCTAATAGACTTTTCGGTGTGGCGCCATGGGATAACGTACTGGACTGCAAGGTTGGTTTAAACTGCAAGGCTGGCAGGGAAAATTCACCAGCCACTCCTCAGACAACCTAGTAGTCAGCAGTCCAGTGTTAATACAACAGTACCACACCAGGGCTTTCTACATTAGTGATTCCGAAATGCATCAATAAACCAGGGTAGACCAAAGAATGAGAGCTATTAACCATTCTTCCATGCTAATTTAACTTTCAAGTAGATTCTGGAACTTCTGGGTTTTTGTATTGTCAACCAGAGCAGCTTTTCCAGAAGACTGTTGCTATTCCATGCCAGTACTATCTAAACGTCTTCTGAATATCTACAATGTCCTGCACCACCCCCATCTGTCAGTCTGCCGTGCTGTGGTGGCCTGAATTGTGTTATATCCTGGAAGCTATGCTCCCAGTGTTTCAAATACCAGCAGTCACTCATGGTGGACAGTTTTCAGTGGAACTTCCAGACTAAGATGGGCTAGGAAGTAAGACCTAGCATTCTACCTCCAAAAATTAGCTAAGGAAAACCCTACGGATCACAACAGAGTGTGCCCCAGGTAGCGCTGGAAGATGAACCCCGGGTTGGAAGATACTCAAAATAAAACTGAGGAAGAGCTGCATGCTCAAAAATAGTAATGTTGGTAGCTGCCATAGAGTCAGCCTTAACGGTAAAGCAAAGCCTTCAGAAATGCAGTGCATCCCTTCATATGGCTCTTCTAACCATAGTAACTCCCAGCAGACAATGTTTTAGCCCGGATGGATCTGGATAAGAGAGGGTGGGAGAAGGAAGGATAGGACAACAGTTGTGAACAACTGTTTACAAGGTTAGCTGCGAAAACTTGTAACTCTAATGTGTATAAAATGGAGCCATCTCAGAAGCAGGAGGGGGAATCTCACAAACATCAAAGAAGAGCAAGGTGTGGAGCATGTCTTTTGGGCCCTGAGATGCTACCTGTGCACTGAACCTCCTTGACCCAGGGACAGAACGCTGCGACACCAGATGAGTAGTAAAGGAGCGGCAGAGCAGCAGCAGCAGAACCAAAATCCAAAGCACAAGACAAGAGTTTGGGGCTCCCAGCCCATGGAGTAAGTAAAACCAGTGACCTGGGAGGCTTGCCGGCAGAATGGATTGTCTTCAGGCATTTGATTAGGGGAGCTTGCTTTGTAGAGCCAGGTGACTTCAGGCTGAGATTTATGATGGAGGGGTGTGTCCTGGGGGCAGTTATCAGCAGCCCTAGTAGAGCTTTGGAACTTTGGGCAAGCAGCGAGAGGCCTGTCTGTGGGCACAGGAGAGGTTGTCCTGACCAGAACGACTGTGCCCTGAGCATTTCTGACTCCAAATTATAAGCTATTAACTTCCCTAATAAAGCCCGTTAACTATGAGTTGTTGTTGTTAAGTGCTGTGGAGTTGGTTCCTACTCATAGCAGCCCTGTATAGGGTTTCCGAGGTACAGCCTGGTAGGTTTGAACTGCCAACCTTGTGGTTCATAGTCCAGTTCTGATCCTACATGTGGTATCTGAATTCTGTGTGGCCAATGTAATGAATTATCAAACCCAGATGAGAAGTGGAGAGTACTAAGGGAAGTATGGTTGGTATCATTTTTTTGCAAGGACATTCATTTAACAGGACTCAAATTGAGAAGTGTCTGCTGCAAGTATCGGTTAGTCAACAATGAACTGCAACACACCATCAACCATGAAGAAGGCACAGAACTGGACATTGCTTAACTCTGCTTTCCATAAGGCTGCCTGCCATGAGTCAAAACCAACTGGAAAGCAGCTAACACCACCACCAATGTATGGGTATAGAGTTAGGTTCGAGGTTACAAAATAAATGGGATAATGTGTTACCAAACTTCAAAGAGCTCACAGTTTTGCTAGGTGGTCATGTCAATATCTATAATAAAATGTCACTTTGTTATTCCTGTAATATAAATACAATTCTATGACAAGAATGAGTAATGCTGAGAGAGCATCTGAGGTCCATGCCCAATATTTCAAACCCATCTAATTCACTATCGGGACAGTTAGGCACATCTAAATTTATATTTCACTAACAGGAGTCCTCAACCACTGGTCTGTCAGTATGTCGTACTGTGGTGGCTTGTGAGTTGCTGTGATTTTAAATACCGGCAGGGTCACCTATGGTGGACAGGTTTCAGATGAGATTCCAGACGAAAAGGAGTAACTAGGAAGAAGGAGTGACAAACTATTTCTGAATATCTGAAAAACCTTATGAACAGCAGAAAAACACTGTCAGATATAGTGCCAGAAAATGAGCCCCTCAGGTTGCAAGGCACTCAAAATGCGACTTGGGAAAAGCTGCCTCCTCAAAGTAGAGTTGACCGTGATGACACGAATGGAGTAAAGCCCATGGGAGTAAAGCCCGTGGGACCTTCATTTGCTGATGGGGTACAACTCAAAATAAAGAGAAACAGCTATACACATCCATTAATAATCAGAACATGGAATATACATGTATGAATCTAGGCAAATTGGAAATTGTCAAAACTAAAACGGAAGACATAAACATCACTATCTTAGGCATTAGTGAGCTAAAATGGACTGGTATTGGCCATTTTGAACCTGACAACCACAAGGTTTACTATATCCAGATCAGTCATGAGGTACAACGCTGTCTCTGATAGGATAATATTCACTACAGGGAAGACTAAGATGCACCTGACCAAAGCTATGGTATTTTCAATAACCTCATATACATGTGAAAGCTGGACAGTAAATAAGGAAGACCATAGAAGAATTGATGCTTTTGAGTTATGGTGTTGGAGGAGAATACTCAAAGTGCCATGGCTGCCAAGAGAACCAACAGATCTGTCTTGGATGAAGTGCAGCCAGAGTGCTCCTTGGAAGCCATGATGGCCAAACTTCGTCTGTCATACTTTGG